TGGCGTGTTAGAAAATGCATGGATTTTTAAGTTGGAAGAGAAAAAGAGGGCACATGAGACCCACTGGGTATACTTGAGGATTTTTTTCAGACTGCGTTTTTAAGTAAACTGCATTTTAAATGCACATATGATATGTATATGGAAAAAATGCATTTTTGTGAAAGATACATTAAAAACAACACAAATGTTAGTGCAACAAAACAGAAACAGGACAGTAAAGAATAAAGATAGACCTTCATCTATCCAAGTACAGAGACTAAAGACACATAAAGTAAAAAGAGTTCTCAAATACGGTACAACAAGGACACGAGACAGAGACACAAGCAGCATAGAGAAACTAGGTCACCAGAGATTTAAAGAAGGTATAGAATGATGGAGCACAGCTGGGTATAGAACAGAGGCAGTGCAAAAGACACAAAATATGAAGACATGTAGGAAACAGAAGAGAAAAATAAACAGACGCATATACACAGAGGAAGGGCAGGAGAAGCTGACAAGTGAGGCTGATCCGCTGCTCCTGTGCACCAGTTTCAAGATTTAGATGTCAATGTAGGGAGCTATGATAGATGGACTTACATTTCCTTTTCCACCCAAAGATGTAAATCCTTGTAAGGCTTGCAACATTCTGTTGCCCACTCATCCTCATAGGATGAAATCCATACAGGGCCAGAGTATGCTTAACAACTCCTCGGTCTGCACAAACAGCTGGATCCTGTCTGTAGTCTTTTCAACTGACCTACATTTTTTCCCTGCCTTGAGTCATGGAATATGGACTGTGTGAGCATAGAAGCCAATAAAATACTGTCTGCGTAGTCCTTCCATTATCCTGTTTTTGATCATGACCTTTCACTTTGTCACTTTATGTACTTTTTATTTGCAATCATTTAATAACACAAACTGGCCCAGTCTGATTAGGCCATGGAGTGGCTCTTGTTAAGACAAATTCATCTGGTGTTCAGCATTCGGTAACTTTTATTAGATTTACAAGTAGATAACTTACAAGCACTAACTTTTACAAGTTCGGTACTTAGTACATTTATGCAGCCTATACGCACATCATTGTTTAGCATTGTCAAAACTGCACATTCTACACTGGCAGTCCTTCTAGAAGGGTGGACAGTATACAGAAAATTCAAAGGAAATATTTGATTGTGGTAAATGGTCATTTCTTATATTTAGCCTTTCAATGCTGTATTGAGAAGTTTGGTGCTAAATTCCTTCACAGCAGTAAGCGCATGATCCTGCTCAAGTTGTATTTGTGCAGCCATTTGCCTGTACACACAGTCTCAGGGCTCCTCACTTGGTAGCAAAAGCAATGAAACCAGGATGCCCCTCACTAGCCTAGTTTGCTGTTCCATTTGAATGTGGAAATATGGTTACCAACTTCAGAAGATGGCAGGATATTTAAGAACTGCTTGAAATCAGCTTGCTATCTAACATTGTTTTCCTATACATTGAAATTGACTTAATATCCAACAATGCAACAAAGTTGGCAACCACAGGTTCCGATTCAGATGCAAGAAGTTTCCTCATTTGATTTCTTGCACTGTAAAAGAAGAAGCAAGGTAGCTGTATGCATAGGCAAGGTTCACATGCTTATTAAACTGAAATGTTATTATCCAGACATCATGAGTGAGTCAATAAGGATCAGGCTGCATACTTTTCTCCACTGTGAAATACTTTTCTGTCTGATTCTGGCTAAAATGACCAAGTTTATACCCCACAATTATTATGCAAGCAACTCTCCCACTGCACATCTTTCATTACTCCTTCGTTCCTTGTGTCCAAAGGAACAAAGTATTGGAACTGCATTTATTTATGTACAACCATCAATAATGTCTCCTGTATTAAAGCACCAAATTTTTCTCCATGGAACAGATCAGTAACTGGCTCCTTTAAAGTACAGGACCATGGGTTACACATAAACATGTCAAGTGCTATTTTAAAACAGAGCCTTAGGGCGACATCCCATAGAGGTTTAACATTTTTAAAAGCCCTGCAACTGTCAGCATGCACAAACCAGCACAAAATTTCAGAAATGCCTAAACTTACATAAAATTTATGCGTTGCCTCCTTGGAGGATTCTTTGGAGTCCTGTCTCTAAAGCTTTGCAACTTCCGTGCTAGGATCCCACAGGCTGAGCCTCTATTTCTCTTGCATGTGGCATGGAAAGAACTGTGCCTGCTGCTTCTCTAGGATTCCAAATTTGCCTCAGAGAGGAGGAAAAGGGATGTGCTGGGGCTGTGGAGGAGAGGAAGCTGGAACCCACAGCCCAGGCCATAGTCAGGCAGCACCCCAATCTCCTTCCTTCCCTGCCTCACCCCTTCATCTGCCATCTAGATAAAATGCAGAGCATCAGTGGTGAAGATTGTCATTGCCACACCTCGCTCTGTGCATCAAGGGCAGGGGCATTCGCTTTCCCCCTTGGCATCTCAACCCCACCCTGAGGGAATGTTTCTGTAATAGCTGGAATTTAAAATAAGAGTAACACATAATGTGATGTGAAGCAGGGCTTTATTTCAAACAAAAAGCCAGAGAATTTTTGTCTGAAATTATGAAGAACAGACATCATATCCAGTTCATGAACAGTCAGTGTAATAAGAGCTGGGATTCAGGAAATTCTAGGCTGAGAACTATTGCTCAGTCTGATGATTAAAGTTCAGTGATTTTCCTATCAGCATGTGCATTGCTCAAGTCTCACTGTTCCCCATCCACATTGCTGTGCAACGTGCCATATATGCCAGTTCTGTAATGCTACTCTGACTTCAATAATTAGTAGCTGTGCATGGGAAACAGCTATCTGATAAATTCTTAGTAAGCTGGCTAACATTATGTGGAACTTGGACCCATCCTTCCCACAATATAGCATTTCTAGTCAGAAAGTTCAGATTCAGAATGTGAGATAAGCAGAATAGAAGGGAAGGAATTAGCAGGAGACTCTTGTCAAGGCTTACAAGCTGGATTAATCAGACAAAAACTTAGAACTAAACAGTCTTGCAGAAAAGCAGAGGAAATAAACTCCTAGACCCAGTGGGATCAATGGGGGACCAATTATACAACATCTGCCATTCCTATCATTTGGCTCAGAAGCAGCGTGAACCAGCCTGAAGGTAAAACCAAGACTCTGGGGAAATGAAGGGAAGAAAGGGCCGTTTGAAATCAACTCTTCACATGGGCAGAAGCTACTTCCACAGACTGGAGAGACTGTTATCTTGATTTCTGTAATTTGTGAAAAGTTCTTATACGAAATGCCCTGTATCACAACCAAGAAAGGATTGTATTGTATGGGTTTTCATTTTGGACTCCTGGGAAGGAAAAGAGTTGGAATGCACATAGCACATTATTTGTGATTCTGACAAATGTGTATAGGTAAAATTAAGTGCATGTGTGCGTTCACACACATGTGTCTAAGTACCCCTGGAAGCAGCTGCTTCCATCATTGAACTGCCTTGTGTTACTTACATGTTATTGACTAACTTTAAACTATTTTCAGTGATGGTAAGAAAAATTATTTTTGATGATTTATCGGTCATTTATAAATATGTATGAAGGTTATTGCAACATGAATGCCAAGCTTGATAGGCTTGAAAAATGCAAACTGAGAAAGACAAAGCATGAATTAAAAGCATCTAAAATTATGCATGAGGATATAACAGCTGCAGAGATATGTATGACATGGGACGCTCCACTGGGGAAGTTCCGTAGACAGCTCAGGGGTAAAGCCCCTGTTTTGCAGGCAGAAAGGTCCAGGTTTGATCCCTGACATCTCCAGGCAGGTGTTTGGAACCCTGGGGAGCTGCTCTTGGTCAAAATCAACAGTCCTGGACTATACGGACCAATGGCTTGACTCAGTACAAGGCAGCTTCCCATGTTCCAATCTTCCATGCCAAAAAACCACGAAAAACATTCTGACTGTTTGGTATCTAGCTTGTAAATATCACCTATAGTTTTGACTATGGAATTGCCTGTGAACAAACATTTTACTGCAAATTTCCCTAATTAACCAAAGGCCATGCACAGAATGGAAGCTGAATTTGAAAATAACATTGGTGTTCATATGATAAAGATTTACCAGAAAACCAACTTTAGCCAGAATTCTGTATAATTATACAATGACATTGTACTCTAGTTCAAGTACCTGCCATTTTGGCTAATGGATGGGATAGAAATATAATAAATGAATGAATGAATATTTGAGCAGATTTGGTAAATTTGGACCAGTCTTCTTTTAATTTAAATCATATGAGCTATTTCATATGAAAATGTACCTGTTGACTTCATTCAGGTTCTTCTTCCCCTAATAATATGAGCTGAATGTAAATGATAAAATGCTTTGTCGTCTTGCATAATTGTGTCACCTGTACCTGGATTTCTGAAGTGTGGAAGCAAAATTTGAAAAATGCATTTTAGGTTTTTCAAACAGAGAGGTAACCCTGTAGAAAATTGTAAAGGAAGTGGGAAAAAATTAAAAGTGAGCGGTAGAGGCGAGGGAACCATACAGAATGTCACCAAAAAGGATACATTCAACAGTACACTAATTATTAATATTAATGATGGACCTCCTGGGACTACGTGTCTATAATGCATTTCAGTCCTGTCATATGCCTGAAATATGAAAACATTATCAATGAGCAGCAGAATCTGGTAATAATAATACCACAACATCATAATAAATAGGCAGAACTCTCCCCCCTCTTTGTTTTGTTCATGTTTTAATATATCAAATGTATTTCATTGCTTACATTATAGTAGCAGATTAGAAACATCTGCTCATTTGCCACCAGTCTACCAGCAACAGAAAGTCTAACTCATTTTCCTTCAGGCCATCCTGCTTCAAGGCTTGGGTAAGAAGTCTATAACCCAGCTGTTAAGTGTTGATACAGGCCCAGGTTTATACTCAGGAGCCCTTCTGATGGAAACACCACCTCCTTGCCAAGGATTAGAACAGTGATAAACTCCATTTGCTTTTCTCACCCCTCCCATTTGTCTTTTCCCTCTAGCTCCATCTCCTATTACGATAATTAGAAAAGACCGGACATCTAGAAACAGTGTGTCTCTCTCTTGGCAAGAACCTGAACATCCTAATGGGATCATCTTGGACTATGAAGTCAAGTACTACGAAAAGGTGGGAAAGCACAGATACGAGGTACAGGGGAGACATGGTCTATTTCAGTTTGGTCTCAGAAAGAGCAAGATTAGAAACTTGAAAAGAAATTGAAAGTGATGTAAAAGTGCTTTCAGACTCATGTTCAAATTCTTCCACACAATTGCAGAGGTCAAAGCCATGAGCAAATCTTAGTACATTTTAAGTCCATTGATTAATTTTATTACTACGAGTGCTTCTAGAAGTCCACTTTCTCACCTTTCAAGTTGTATTGCCAACATTTTCTCTAGTGTGATTGGAAAATAAAATTCCAATCTTTTTATTTCCCCATCCTTCCTTGATGAAGTATATTCATCAGTGCATGTAGTATATACACAGTTGCGGAGAAACAGAGAGCAGTAGTGTACTTCACTGCCTAGGATTTTACAGGGTACAATCTATTCAGAGGGAATGTCTGCTCCGAAGTCAATCCCATTGAAATAAACTAGAATTTAACTCTCAAATAAGTAAGGATTGAAGTCACAATGGGTACAGTGCCTTGCAAGAGTATTCAATACACCTTTGATTTTTCTTCATTTTGTTGTGCTACCACCTGGAGATAAATGGATTTAACTGGCATTGTTAGCCTGAGATGTGTATGTGATGCTATAAAGATGCAAAATATTTCACAGTGGCACAAAAACTAAATAAACAAACAGTCATTTGTTGGTTGTTCTGAGAACATCATCCTTACAGTGAAGTATGGGGAGGGCAGGATCATGGTATACGATGTTTCTCCTCAGCAGAGGTCAGGAAACTGGTCAGGATTGGGGGCAAGATGGGTGGAGCCAAGTACTGGGCAATTCCAAGAGAACATCTTTATCAATCTTTAGGGACCTGGGACTGTGGTGGAGGTGCAGCTTCCCAGTGGACAGTGACCCTAAACACACAGCCAAGGTAGCACTAGAGCAGTTTAAAACTAAAAACCTGAATGTCTTAGAATGGCCAGTCAAAGCCCAGACCTCACTTAAATAAGAATTTGGCAAGACTTGAAAGTCACTGTTCCCCAACAAACTCCATTCAACTGCCAGAGCCAGAGCAGTTTCTCAGGACAAATGGCACATATTGTAGGATGCCAGTGTGCAAAGCTAGTAGAGATTTGTCCAGAAACATTTGGAAGCGTAATTGCTGCCAAAAGTGTTTCTACCATGTGTTGACTTGGGGTGGGGAATGACAAATTAAGGAACTAATTATTTGCCAGATAATTTTGTTTACTTTTCCTTTGAGCCTCAATAAACATAATCTGTACTTTCACAGTGTTGAGTTTCTTGTACACAGCAAGTGGTAACAATGCCAGTTATATCCATTTCAATTCCAGGTAATAACACAACAAATGTCAAAGACAGGTGAATTTTTCAGCAAGGTACTATACATTTTCAATAACTTTCCATCATGCTCATTGTTGTAATTAGATATGGCATTACTTTTTGTGGCAGATAATTATAATGGAAATGGAAAAAATTCCCGTCATTAGATATCAAACTGTGTTTTGTCTCTTGCTTATTTTTATTGATATTTTATACTGTAAAGTATAATAAAATAGGCAAAAAATGTAGAAAAATGTTTTATTTAATTCACTGCTTGACTATAGTTATGTCAAGTTTAGCTTTCTTTTGTTCTTTCTTTTTAAAACTGATGAATACAGTACACTGTTTCTGAAATTCTTTTTCTGAGCCATGAAAAACAAACTGTTCTGTTCTATTCTGTATACATTTCCTATGGACTAAGTTCCATTAAAGACTAAATAGATGGGTATAGAATTGTACTGTTTGAAACTGTTGTGCATGAGAAACTGATTATTATTAATATAAAACTGGCATAAAAATATAAAGACAGAAAAGATATTAATATAAGACAGAAATCGCCATACTTTTGAGATACATTGTTGCCTGGCACAGAGAGAGAGAACAAGAGAGGAGAGAGAGAGAGAGAGAGAGAGAGAGAGAGAGTTTAATGGGACACAATATTACCCTTACACAATCACAAAATCTCTCATTTATTAAAAAAGGAAATACCTGAGTATGTAAGCATAACCTCAGACATTCCAGCTGAGCCACTGCTCAAATTCATAAAACAATGACATTTATAATGGCCTCCTGTGTCTTTGGGGGCTATTAAATTAGTTACCTATGCATCAATCTTAGATGCATTGATCCCAATAGGAAGTTCTGTTGAATTTAGTAGATTGTAGTTGTAAGTTTAGGCTTTCTGTTCATTACATAGGAATCGCCATGAGTTAAGGGAAACAATCTCTTGCATGGTGAACATAGTATCCATAGGAGGAAGAGTCTCATAGGCTTAACCAAACTTGACCTCCCTTGTCCACTCCCTGTTGCATATGCACAAGCAGTGGAATCAGACTGATATGGGGAATGCAACACTATATGCATTCTCAGATCTTTATCTAGTAAATTACTCATGCTTCTGGCAAATTGACTGGTAACCTGCATGTACAACCCATTGCAAGTAAACAGTGTGTAGCTCCCTGCCACCATCTTGTTCCCAGTTCCTCTGTCCCCATTCTAGTGGTTTTGTTTGCATGTGTAGGAATAAGGGCTAAATTTGATTCAAATGAAATGTCCTTTGTGGGAATAGGCTACATGAAGTGAACACATGCAGATAATGTTTTCTCCCATGCCTCCAACTCCATGTCTGAGACAACAGACAAAAGTACACTTATTTAGCTTTACTCCCTAAGCTCATCCTGCAAAAGCTCTGGCCCAATCAGTGTCTCAGGTCTGCCACATTAGACTTGCATAAAACTATATGAGATAATCCAAATCCAGGGCTGTGCATCTGAATCAATCTAAACCAATGCTCGGCTTGTAGTGGCAATGGGAATTTCATGTATACACTGAAAATGCCCATTTAGAGGCTGAAAGCCTATACTTACCTACCTACCTGGAAATCAGTCCCATTCCTTATGACCAATCATGGAGAGCAGTGCACAATTAATGAAAGCTATAGAAAATGAACTAAAAAGAGGTTTATATGATCCCCTGTAAATTATAGCTGCTGGATTTCTCATGGTCCCATTCCAACTTCTCCCCGTTATCAGAGAGAGAGAACAGCTGACATTTTGGGAAAATGAAACAATCTCATTCAGCAAAGGATAGCTTTATACAAACACGAAACTGCACCCCTGAGTCCAGATGACCTACTTAAGACATAATCCTCCCTGATCAGTGATGAAATTAGCAATTAGCTTTTCACAGAGTGACCCAAGCTACAGTGAATGACATGTCCACATTTGCTAGTTTACCTCCAGGGGTGGCATTCACAGCTAGAGTCATTTAATACTAAAGCAGAGTGCCAGATTCCTGAGAGACATCTGTGATCAAGACTTCCTACAGAGTTTTCCTTAGTTCAAAGCATTAGAAGGGGGCTGCTTATTTGACCTGGGAGAAGGGGGCTATAACCTTCCACTCTGTCCTTTTCCTGATCAACCCTGTCTACCCACTGTCAGTCTTTTCCCCTGGGGAAACAGGTACATATGGCACAGGATTCAGGAAGATTTTTGGACCCTCCTTTAATCATTTATCTATCCATCATGAAAGTCAAGGAGTTTGCTAGTCTTTGAAATGGTCCTGCATTTTCAGAACCGCATCAGAAAATACAGTTTGAAGTTTGCCTAAGAAAATCTATTTTTGATATAACCTTTCCCCATAAGCAGTTTAGGAGAAAGAAAGCCTGAAGCTTCCAAGGCAGGTCATGAGCTGTGCAGTATGAAAACATATCCGTGTCCTCATGCTGTCAGTCTCACTACTTAGATTACATAGGGTCACAGCAGACATTACTTTAATTATGCATCTAGCAACCATGCCTTCATTTAATGTTTATGCTAGGCGGCAAATCCAGTTCTTATTCTCCATACTAGGGACCCTAGTCTGACTCCTAAAAAGACATAGATGCTAGAACTCTATTAAAAGCAATGTGTCCTTTGACCCTAAGTTCTTCCTTTCCAAACAAGGGAAGTAGTAAGGTTGGATCCTACTTCATTGTTTGGGATTTGATCATTTTGGTGTCTCTATGACGGTCAGATAAAGAGATTTATTGTACCATATTTAAAAATCTTCATAACCAAATACAGTTCCAAGACTGGGCATCTGTGTATATGTCAAAAATGAAATCCCTTTCCATCATTCTGGCAAAGGAAGATAAGGTGCACATGAATACAATTAACTTACACTTTAAATGCTGTTTACATAGCCAGAGTAATATAGGAGGGAACTGTTGTGCAAATGAACATAGGTCAATATGCAACCCCATTGGCTTTGCTATGTTGAATTTTAATGTGGAAATTTCTTTTTCTAAAGCAGGAACAAGAGACAAGTTACACTATTCTGAGAGCAAAAAGCACCAATGTTACTATCAATGGCCTCAAGCCAGATACTACTTATGTTTTCCAAATCAGAGCCCGAACTGCTGCAGGATATGGGAGCAACAGCCGCAAGTTTGAATTTGAAACCAGTCCAGATTGTATGTATTTATAAAAGCTGATTTTAAATATTTTCCTGCACAATTTCAAAATTATATATCTGGTCCATTTTATTCCCTCTGTAGTTCAGTAAATGTGATTCTCGTATTTATGATCTAACTTGCCAGCTAACGTGCCTATAAATTTTTATATTTTGTCACTATTTTAAAATGTGTTATGAGACATATATCATAAATGTGCAAGAGGTATCCCTACTTTCTCCAACCATGTTTTATTTGTTTGTTTATTTATTTAAGATATTTGTATGCTGTCCTTTGCAAGATCCTCAGGACGGCTTACACAAATAAAATTCTGAAGTACATAGGTTGCTAGTATTAAATGAATCTTGGGTAGCCAGTGGGTCCTGCTTGGAAAGAAATGTAAAATATCCACAGTATCGTAATACTCTAACATTGCTGTCTGAACTTATGGACTCTAAAACTTCTGAACTCTAAAACAACCATTCCGTTTCCCTCCGCCTCTGCCTCCCTCCCTCTCCCTCTCCCACTCCCTCTCCCCTCCCCTACCCTTCTTTTTTCAAGTCCGCATTCTGAAGCATTAGCTTCATTTACTCTAAATTCATCATTTCCCCCTATATAAATAATGGATAGGTTCATATAAATTGCAACCAAAGCAAATGGTGATGTTGTTGAATGCCCATTTAAATTCTATGGTCTCGGTTATGTCTATACCAAGGTGAAGCATTGCTTTTCTTAATAAGCTAAAAGTTGAATTGAAATGATGGGTCCACATAGGACTTTTGTAGCCAAGATCATTCACATCATTGTAGTCCCAGTTACTATGCTTTGGTGTGAAAACTGGACAGTGAAAAAGACCAACAAGAAGGAAATTGATGCTTTCGAAAGATGGTGCTAGGGTAGAGTTTTGCAAATACTCTGGAGTGAAATAAAGACAAACAAGTGGTCATAGGTCAAATCAAGCTGAAACTTTCCCTAGAAGCAAAAATGTAAAACACTGCAGCTGTCATACTTTGGATACATCATGAGAAGGCAAGACTCCCTGGAGAAGATTGTCATGCTAGGGAAAGTTGCAAAGGAAGACCAAAGAAGAGATAGATTAGCTTCCTGAATAGAGCCACAGCCTTGAATTTAGTACATCTATCATGGACAGGACATTTTGGAAAGCTTTCACTCATAGGGTAGCTGAAAGTCAGAAATAACAACACATAACAGCAGCAATGTGTATTATTATTATTATTAAAACATTTTTATGCCGCCCCATTCTCCGAAGCCTCGGGGCGGCTTACAACAATAAGTGTGTGCACATTCACTAGTATTGTCCCCATAGCCAAGACTCTTTGATTTTGTTTCCCCAAAAGGAAATTGTATTCAAGAAATTTCCCCTGCAATATTAGTTAATGGCTCCCAGATTCAGGTCTGACTCTTTTGTGGCTTTCTTTTAATCCAAGAGAAGTGCAATTCATAAATTGCTCTTAACTGTATTTTTCCCCTGTGAGAAGAGAGGCTTTAATTGAATCCCCTTCTTTTCATTTTTATTCTTCATTGGACAACAATCAATCAATCAATCAATCAGGTTTATTTTACTCCAGGATTGTTATCCCACCTGAAAGTGAAATCTTTCCACCTGAAAATGAAATCTTTCCACCTGAAACTGAAAATGTATATCCTAGGCTTAAAGTCCATTTAGCAATTCAAATACTCAACAAAATGATACCTATAATAAGAAAAACAGAGCAAGTTGGAAGGGGCCACCTGGGCCATCCAGTCTGATCCCCAGCTCCAGCCAGTCCCACTCATGACATGCCTGCCATGTGCCATGGTAAGTATGTCATGACCTGTAATATCACATACAGCTAAATCACACAGTCCAAGCTGAAATTCTGCTGAAATAACTATTTCTTCAATTAACAAGAGGTTATAGATTTCTGTGGAAGAGAGTTCAGAAAGTTCATCTCCTATTCCTTCCAATTGCACTTATCACAGAAAAATCTAAATATCCCTCCTGTTTTAAAAGATGGGGTATGAGAAATAATCATCAAAAAAATTCCCACCTATCACATGGAATAGGAATTACATAATTAAATTGCAACTAAGAGACCATTCATCAGTAATGCTGTTGTTGCTTAAACAAGAAGCAGTCGTAGCTACGAGAAAGACGCTACTAATCAAGGGCACAATTGCCCTGAGAAGCAGAGTACTGTTTTGCCTGCCCAACGGCCCAGACTGGTGCTGCATTCTGTTTACATTTGTTGGAATTGCTACAAATCATATCTGAAGAAAAGACAATAGGCGAATATCTGGAATGCTCCTACCTGGAAAGCAAATTGTCTCAATTCTCTATAAAAGTTGAGTGAATAAATTTTGGCAATTTCATGGTAAGCTAGAATGGAAGCTATCTTGATTACTTTACACAGAAAGTAGAATAGGTAAAGGTAAAGGTTTCCCCTTGACGTTAAGTCCAGTCATGCCTGACTCTAGGGGGCGGTGCTCATCTCCGTTTCCTAGCCGAGGGAGCCAGCGTTTGTCCGCAGACAGTCTCCGTGGTCATGTGGCCGGCATGACTAAACACTGAAGTGCACGGAACGCTGTTACCTGCCACCGAAGTGGTACCTTTTTAACTACTTGCATTTGCATGCTTTTGAACTGCAAGGTTGGCAGGAGCTGGGACGGAGCAACGGGAACTCACTCCATTGTGCAGATTCAAACTGGCGACCTTTCGATCAACCAGCCCAGCAGCACAGCAGTTTAAACCACTGCGCCACCTGCAGTCCCGAATAGTAGAATATATAGCCCTATATATGTGTGGGGGGGGGGGGGGGGGGGTAAAGCACAGTAGCTAAAAGAATTATCAATGAACTAAAAATACTTAGAAAACTGTTATCTGAAATTATTATATACCTGGATCTGTTCCTTTTTCTTTAAAAATTTACTAGAACTACCAAAATGTATATTTCAAAGACAACCATTCAAAATCTTTGTTAACTTTATGACATCTGATTAGAAAATTGATTGGTTGTTACAAAAGGCTTATAAGATGTGCACTTTTAAGTAAACACTGTGTTCAGGCATACAAAGGCAAAACATATACGTACATTAATTTAACAGTTAATAAAATGTTTTTCTATAGTCATAATGATAATGACCCTCATAAAATCAATCAACAGTATCAAACTAAAACATAGCAACATGGCACCAAATATAATACAGAGAAGAAAATCACCTTTACTTACTGACAGAAAGTGAGTATACAATTGAAACTTCCACGCTGTATTTTAAAACATAGGACACAATCCTATGTATGTTTAGACAGAAAAAAAAAATCTCCATTCCCAGACCATTTTCTGTCTAAACTGTATAGGATTGTGCCATTAATGCTTATCATATCCCTTTCCAAATCATATAGTTAGATCAGAGACTCACTTCCCTTGATAGTATATTGAAAATATTTGAACAAGTTAACATTCAACCTGACCATCTCAACTATAAATCTATACTTCTAACATTTGGGCAATTATATGCAGTTTTCCTTGATTAATTTGTTAGACGTATGAATTTGGGAGGAAGGAGAGAGGAATTCCAAAGTTATAGCATAACATAGATTTTACCACAGATATTGTAGTGACAAATTTTTCTTACAGACTTCTCATAGGCTTGAGTGTCTCAAGTTTGGAAAGTATAATGTTCTGTTTGGAAAGTATAATGTCCCAAAAAGAAACAGAAATGTAGCAGCAAGTCAAGCAATCTTGCACTTGACATGTTTGAATTTTTAAGGTTTGTGAGATTTTAAAAATTCCAACTCTTTCTGGAAAGTAGTTGAGCTCCCTGTTTTAGTTAACAAATGGCAATTACTGTAACCCTGGCTCTTCAGGAGAAATTGTGTGATGTGTAGAAAGCATTGACATTATTCGTGATATTATTTTTGGGAGTATATGGCAAAGAAAATTGTTCTTGTTTAACTAGAACAAACATGCTTGCATGGGGATGCTTGGACAGCATGAAGGTAATAAAGGGCTTTGTAGAACAGATGGAAGACTATTATTTTTTGTTATCCTTATAGCATTTTGGAATATATTTCAATTGCTTGGTTACAATCCTGAGTTGCATTTTGATATGTATGCACTTTAAGAACTTTTAGAGTCCAAAGTCATAGCCCATGCATAGTATTTGACACTTTAAAGTATTTTCTCATTCTGCTGGCTCTAGAGGAAACCATGCCAGCGAAATAAAAATCAAATCTGCACTGTAGGTTTTTCATTTTTTCATTAGTGTTGGGAGATGAATTAAAACAAAGCTGAGTTAAACCTAATGCATGCAAATGGAACTGTTGAACGATCCTATTTGACTTATGCACATAAGTTGTATTTTTGAAGCATCTGCAAGAAACATTATCCAAAGTTGATTTGATATGTTCTTATGATTTTCACCCAGTTCAGTGGAGTCTCCTTGCCTTCATTATTCCTAGAAGGTCCAGAGAAGCTCCTTGGTGGCTTTTTTTTTCTTATTTAGAAATGCAAAAGCTGCAGTAGGGAGGAGTCTGCGAATCCATTGTGTGAGCAATGTTGTACTTACTTGTATTCAGCAGAATATATTTGCTTTTCTTAGCCATTGCACTTTGTAAATCAATCCACAGGAGCGGCTGTTCTCTTTTCTATTGAGTGGAGTAAATACTGTTTTACAAATAAGGCAGACAATTATTTTCAAGTTAAGAATGAAGTGATGCTGTAATGACTACAGCTCCCATTTGTCCTTGGTGATATTTAATGCTTTTTATTCTTACTTCCTTTTAATTTCTAGCTTTCTCCATCTCCAGTGAGAGTAGCCAGGTCGTAATGATTGCTGTTTCAGCTGCTGTAGCAATTATTCTACTCACAATTGTGGTTTACATCCTGATTGGGAGGTTAGTTCATTATTTGTGTTGCACGTTTATTTCCATTGCTTGAGTGCTGCATTGGAATAATAAACACTCTCATGAACAGGAATGGTTAGAAGCAATGCACAAAGATTTTGTTTGGCCCACATTTTGACACAGATTGACCTAATATGAACTTCCTGTATTAATGTACAGGTTGGAATACACTTATCCTTCTGGTTATGCACTTTTCTAAATGTTGCAAAACTGGTCTCATTTCAAAAATGGTACCAAAATACATATAAAAAGCATGTTTTAGGATATATTTAGGGCTAATCTATTTATATTTACACAGGAAGAAATTGTCCACAAAGTCCATGCTGACTGGAGAATGCTGGGAATTGCTGAATTGCTTTAGAAATGCATAGAATTGATTTAGAAATGCATAGAATTGATTTAGAAATGCATGCTTTGAAAGAAAATGTATGCATTTTGTAAGAAAATCTGTTCAAAATGCCTATTTAAATACATTTGGCAAGCATTTTTAAAAATCACAGATTAATGCAGAAGAGAAAAGAATTATGAATGAACATTGAGAAAGTGATCAGATCAAACAGATCCCTCCATCCATCCCTAATATTTAGACTTTTCCCCATCTGTAGAGCAGGAAGTCATAGCAGAGCTACACACTGTAATGAGTCTGCTAACTATAGTAGCACAAGTCATACAGAACTTGTTAAAAACAGCTATAAACACATTCTCAGGCAATTGTAAAACTAAACTGGAAGGGTCAAAAATCAACATATCGTCTCATTAGTCAATTTCCTCAAATTCCCACAGAACATATCTCAGCTCTGTAGGGTTCAGATAATGTAAACGTTACGAAAGTTTCTAACAGGTACTTAATTGTTCAGGGAACAGATTGCATTCTGTTTTTACGAGCAAGCAGTATATAAAACATTCTGTTTCTGATATTTTTGCTTTTTGTTGCTTATAGATTCTGTGGACATAGTAAATCAAAACATGGAGCTGATGAGAAAAGACTCTATTTTGGTAATGGACATTGTAAGTTTTAAAAGTTTGTCATTTCTTTAATTGTATTAACTAAGTTGATGCATAGGCTGAACAAACTGATATTAAAATGCAATTAATGCAATGGCATGATTTGTGGTGAAATAGATCTTATTAATGTAAATTCAGTCCAGCTTATTTTCTTTATTTTCTGGCATCCTATGCCTCACAAAACAAGGAATACAAGGCTATTTACAGCATATCTGAGACAGATCATCAGTCTCAGCAACAATGTAACAAAGTCCCCACTTTGTTCAGCAATGAGAAGTTTTGGGACAGCACTGCAGAGTTTACAATAATATCTATGGTTAATCGGTTGTATGCTCCCCTTGTACTTACTGACTGGGCGCAACCGTCATGAAAATCCACACCTAAGGACTGAGTTGTTGCGTTGTTTGACTCCAACTGTGATTTTTTTAAGAAAAAGAGTTAACAGACAACCCACAGTTCATAACCCAGTAACAATTCAAAGGTTATTTATGATTAACAAACATGGTTAGCATGGTCTGACTATGGAATGTGCTCCCTAGAGAGGTCCGCCTGGCACCATCATTATATGCTTTTCGGCACCAAGTCAAGACCTTTTTATTTGACCAATATTTTAATATTAATCAATTTTAATTGCATATTTATTTATTTTATTTAATTTAACTATGTCATTTTTATGTTCAGTCATGGTATAGGCAATTTATTCTATTCAGGACTTATATTATATTGTAAGCTGTCCAGAGACGACAGTGATGGATGGTCTATAAATGCCATGAATGAATGAATGAATGAATGAATGAATGAATGAATGAATAGCTAGCTAGCTAGCTAGCATGTCTGGGTTCAGACAGCAAAATAATCCACACTAACCCTTGAGTTAGCATGTTGTAGAAACCCAGCCACTGCTTTATAAGTGTTGTTAGGATTGCAGCCTTATATTCTTTGGATAAGTTAGCATTAAAATGAAAAAGTTTCTTGGTAAGATATGATTTATTTCCCTTCCTACTTTAGCTGGGTCAACCTGAGCTTTGAGGTATTTGAGGTGTAAATCCAAAGGGAGGATAATAAACAGGCAAAAATCAAAGATACAATTTTACAAGGTATGTACGTGGTTTCCAGAAGTGAGATCTGAGATGCAGCTAAGGTCAAATCCAGGAGATCATTCAAGTGAATACACAGTCTAAAAGCAGAATCAGGCAGGGCTGCAAGGATCAATAGCATGGAACTCCAAAAATAAGACAAAATTAAGGAAAAGAGCATACAAGGCCCTGGAAGTCGAGGCAAAGTTTCCAACAGCTCTCAAGTTCCAACTAAGAACTTCTATAGCCAGAGCTGAGAGGAGAGGCGAGCTGAACTTCACCACATGTTTGAATAAAAAGTCATACTTATGAGGGGGGTCCTGCTAATGAAGAATCCAGTTGCTGTCATTCTTAAGGCATGCATTTTGCCTCCAGGTGGTATCCTGTTCCTATGCCTTTTGTTACCAGCATATTCTAGACTCTGGCCTTCTCCAATTCAGTGTGGATGAATAGATCTTAAGGGACTCATCTTGGGGTTCCTTAATGTCTGTTAGAAGCACTGGGCCAGAGCCACCTTCCCTGGAGGTGCTTGGGGTGGTAGGAACATGCACAGAATCATTTAACTCTGTAGTCTCAGAATCATTATCAACAAATCAGTCATCCTGACCTGGGTCAGGCATCAGCCAAGAATCTGACACTTTTACACATAGGAGCAAATCACAATTCATACGGAAAGCAGCAGAGCCATTAACCATGCATCAAACCCCAAATTTCACCTTCTACTTTCTCTCTCTCCTCTCTATCTCTACCTCTATTCAAATTCAGACTGATTTTCCTGGCCCTTCCAATGAAAGGAATCACATTTCAAAGGCTAGAGTCTCCAAGGACTGTTAAGAGGTTTCTTTCAAATCCAGTTCTTTGCTGCAGAACGCTTTAGATGAAATCATTGTAGTAGGCACATTCATGCTAATCAATTAAGCCAAAATAACAGCTGTTGCTGCAGCAACCCTTTTAAATTTGACCTACCTTTGGCTTTGCTTTCATCACTTGAGTCAACAGCACCTGATTTTTGCTGTTATCTCCCCTGTCTACCACAGCTTTTCATTCCATATCCAGTTCTCAATCTGCTACTCTCAGATGCATCTTGTCAGCAAGATACAAAGGGCTTACATAAGTAGAGGAATACATGAAAGGTGGGCATCCTGATCTGGGTGACTAGTGCCTGATTCCACCCAATCTTGGAAGCTAAGCAGGATCAGGCCTGGTTGAAATCTGGATGGGTGACTTAAATGTTGTCAACTGCCCATATAGCTTCGGCTGTGGGCGCTATAGAAATGCAATGTGATGATGATGATGATGAGGCATCTTTCCTGATTATTATCAGGCTATTGTCAAGTCTGTATTCCAGTCTTCTAGGTTCTTTTGTTTTTTAATGCAGTCATTTGTGACAGGTGTTTTACATCAAGGAAAGATGTGTTACTAAGAATAAATCATCCACTAATAAGCCTGATGCTTATTGCTCTCAGTAAACTTGGGAACCGTTTCTCAAAACAGGATGCCTGCTGAGTACAGCCTTGTTTTCTAATATCACTGAAGGCTGAGCAGTGTTTCTCACTAACAAGTTTCAACAGCTGGCCAGAGTGTAGGATTTATCTTTGCCCCCTTACTGTGCAACAACAAATGAGGCCTTATACTAGCGAAGGGCATTCCTATATATAAAAAAGAGGAATTTCACTGAATTCTGTAAAGAACGTTTTAGGAGCAATACCATCCCATTGTGAACAATGAAAAATAGAGTGAGCCAGCCACATTTCAAATCTTGCTGCTTCTAGTAAAATTGCCTCATCCACCTGCATATTCTTTCCATGAAATACTAGGACACATGTATGTTGTTGTATGTAAGGATCCCTAACAGATGCTAGCCACTGACCCCAGCTTTGCTCAAAGAGGCCCCCATCCTTTGGAATGAAGATGAGTGCTGCTAAGGTGCAAGACATCTGTTCAACATTTTCCACCACTTGCTGGGGTTTAACATTCAAATCCTGGATAGCACATGCCATTCCCGTCGCACAGAGGCACACCCTGCACTCTTGAGCTAATTTTCAATACCTCTGGATCTGTGTGGAATTAATGGATTTTGTTTCATTAATGTTAGTCAAATGAGATACCCTAAGCTAGTATAAAGAAAGTGGTGGTGGGGATTTGAATTTAAGAGAAGATGAACTTGGGTTCGATCTCCACTGCCTGTTCTGATCTGTTTAGCTTTACTTAGGAATCATATAAGGTTACATGTGCACCACCTCTACAATCCAGATTGCTTCATATTACATGTTTCACTTGATCCCTGTTATAATGTTTTCTTCTCTTAGCGGCATCACAAGCAATTGAGTAGAGATGCTTAAAATTTGAATTCTACAAGCAAATTTGGGGCAAGAAGCATAGCCTGCTGAAATGGGCCTTTAGTTCTGATCAAGCTTGCAGACCCATGATACACACTGCTGTTTCCTTACGCCTGTCACATAAGAGAAGCTTTTCACCTCTGTGGGGCAGGAGAAGTGAAGGCTTTTGAATGTCATGGAATTCTGAGGGTGGAGGAAATGTCAGAGGGGCCCAGCTAATGCAATACTCATGTTTTCCTAATATTGTTCACATAGCAGCAACATGAGTGGCTGCATCTATGTGTTTTGCATGTTGTTGCAGAAATTGAACCCATCATTTAATTACACTTGCATGGCAGCAAATGAAACTTCAAATGGTTTTTCTCTAGAGCATCTCATCAGGAGTTTACCTGTTCTTTCTGTAATGCAGCTATGTAAGCTGCGATATCCAGCTACTTAAGACCTCACATTGACAGTTAATACCATGGCCTTAGGCTATCCATTTAGAAATATGTGTCCCCCATCATGAGGTCTTCATTATTCAAATTTAATTGGGTTATAAAACAGAAACAGCCGGTTTAAAGGTGTCACAGACAAACAACAGGTCAAACTTTGTTCTTCCAGTCATCAACCCATGGAATGTCATAATCACAATTTCATGGTGGATAAATTTCTGTGAATTGGGATTGGGCTTCTGCAGTTTTTTTCTGCTTCAGTGTGCAACTGTAATGCACATATTAACACATGAGAAAAATCTGTGGATTCTCTGAGAATTCTTGTCTTTCAAAAAAGAACTGGGGATCAGAAAAAAGTCTATATTTTCTGACAAAATTTTAATGTAACTCCTTTTTACTTTTAAGTTATATTCAGTATTATATGTTTTCCTCCATAATTTTCCATGATTAGGTTGTACTATTAGGTAGTGATAGAAATGTACTCTGAAATGTACGTTAGAGGTGGTCTTACTGCATAGATTCCAGGGCAAGCATCTAAGTTTGAAACAGGCTTTCTGAACCAAGCATTGGTGAGTCCTGGTTCAAATCCTTTGCTGATCTTGTGCTGTCACTCAGCCAAAGAATTGCATTGAAGCTTCTGCTTTTTATAAGGTGACTCTATTCAGATATATTATTTATTTAATTTATATCTCACCTTTCTACCAAAAATGGCACTCAGAAAAGCTAACAATAAAATCCAGATTATAAACAAAAACTTAACATAAAATCTATAAATAAAACACAATTAAAAACACACGAATAAAAGAAATAACCAAGAACAATAAAAGCATCCAGTTTACATGCTGAACATCTTGGTGGATAAAAACTTATTTCCTGCAATAGTAGTTAAAGTGTATGTTCCATAACTGTCTATATTGTCTTCAGGTTGTGGATCCTCCATCCCAGAAAGTTTGGTTCTGCTTCTGTACCTGCCAAGTCTAATTTGTTTTCCTCCACTTGCCACCAGGGAAGTATAAACCCAACAATACCCGGCACTGTTCTGGAGTTAGTTGGTGGAGCACTGGTAATGGCACATCCAGAGAGCAAAATTCTCCTGGGCTAGTGGAAACAGGATAAAATAACTTCTGTGACTGCAATAAACTTTCTGCACTTCAGTCCATAGCAGCTGGTTTATTTCAGTCCACTGATTCTGAATTGCTTAAGAAAAAGCCTCAGCCATGAACTGTTCCCTGCAGCCTTATTTCAAATCCTATAATATCACTTCAAAGGAGTAGAAATATATTTCACCTCCTCAGATCATCTCTGTTTGCCCATGTCTGGCCAAGTCCTGTCGACTCCTTTGCTACCCGTAGGGCAATTCACGCTGCTAAAATGGAAACGATGCCGCCTGCACAGAAGGAGCTGTAAAGTAGTGCAGCTTAGCACGTGTTCATGTGTTTATTATCTGCTGCTCATGACAGAATCCACTTACTATATGAACTGCTCTTTAGTAATTGGTGTGGAGGGATTATTCTTCTTGCTGCCACCAGTTACCTGATAACTCAAAATCTCTGGGGCCAGTATAAAAAAAAAAATCCAGTGCAAAAGTCCCCACTGCTCAGAGGGTTTTAAAAGCACTGTTTTTATATATTATTATTATCATTTTATTAGGGACTGGGGGGAGTCTGTAACCTGCAACCAGCATGGATGGCAGGGAGCATTTACGAGACCTTTAACTTAGGGCAATATGTTGCTCATAGGGGTGTCTGTGTGTGTCTTAATTGTTGCTGTTGTTTGGGAGGTTTTATGGAGATGGCTGTTTAACCAGCCACAGCGCTGAAGGAAACACTATCAGCATGTCACAGTGGGCAAAACACAGCCTCTCTGTTCTGAAAGGTATCCTTTAAATTGTGTCAGAGGCAATTAGTACTAGAACATAGGGAGTCAGCTTCCTTGATTTGATTAAATTTTGCAGCAGCTGGCCTGGTAGGTGAAGTTCACCTTGGTAGGTGAAGGGAATGAGCCTGACTGAATCAGGCCAAATGTCCATTGAGTCCAGGGATGGACAACTTGTGGAATTCAATATGTTTTAATCTAAAATGTGTATCCTCCTTCACAGTTGACTATGTGGACCAACTGTGATGGAACTTTTAGAAAGCCACAGTCTGCCTAATATGATCCAACAACTATGGTCCCAACAGCCATGGCAGATCAGTCACTCCCACAAAGTGGTACAAGAAGGATTTGAATGGTATCCCCTGATGTTTGTTCTTCCACACTGATATTCAAGGAAATACTGTGTTGGAACATAAATGCTCCATTCAGCCATCATGGCACATATCTCAAATTTAGCTAACATTGCTTTAAAGACAGTACCATTACTACATCTTATGACAGTGTAGTCCTTTAAGTTGTTATATCACATGAAGCAATACTTTATTTTAGCCCTGTTCAGCTATTTTCCTGAGCATGAACTGGCTAAAGATATAAAGGATGCTAAAACATGTACATAAGTATCATTCCCAAAGGATCCTCTGAAAACCTTTGCACAAGTAGCAAAATGCTCTGAACATGGGTTCTGGACATGTTTGACAGAAGATTCTTATAACCTTTTCATATTCAGAAACCCTGATAAGACCCAGTCATACAGAGGCTTCTAGGTCTGTTGAGGTGAAAGTGCTTAGAAACCCTTTCCAAAACTTGCATGAAATTTTCTAGAGGAGCCCATTCCTGGAGATGTTGAAGGCAGGTCTTAAATGCTGTCTATACACTTGGAGTAAGCATGTGAACAGGGCTTTTGTCTATCTGAATCCACTGCCCATTCAGCTTGCTGGGTAGATAGTATTTTTTTTCCTCCATTCATTTTCTCCACTTCTACCATTTCAGGTCAAAACAAATAAGGTGCTGAGGATCCATGATCAGATTTCCTGACTTTTTTTTTCTTTCAGCAATTTCTTTTAAGTATATGATGAGTATTCTGTAAGACATCAGCAGAATTTGTGTATGTGACCATTCTTATGTACTTGTATCTCTGTTTTTTCCTAAACAGTAAAGCTTCCAGGCCTTAGAACTTATGTAGATCCACATACATATGAAGATCCCAATCAAGCTGTCCATGAATTTGCCAAGGAACTAGATTCTTCAAGCATAGCCATTGACAAAGTTGTTGGGGCAGGTAAGGTCTCTAATGAAATTCATGGTGCCATTTCAACCTATCCACTGCAGTGGAACCTTTCCAATGCAAATATTTTGATCTGTAAAGTTGCAAAACAAAGTTTTGAAAAGGTTGTTATATTTGCATGCTGAATTTGGCAAAATCACCCTGACTAACCAGTCTAGCTGTCTGTTTCTAGGCATCAGGAAGGTCAGCTGTACTCTTTGGTATTGCCTGAGTTGAAATACTATTTAGGAAGCCTTTTTATGTACCCTGTTTATTATACTCACATAACAAACATAGTTAACCTGAACCATGAGAGAAAACTGCAAAATGCTTACCTGGGTGATAGATTTATTTGGATCTGTTTCTCTGTGATTATGATGGATGAATGGATGAATATGATCAACCAAGATTTCACCAAGTGTGGAGAATTTTGAATCTGTAGAACTTTTCATCAGGGTGGGTTGTACAGAAACAAAGCATGGGAGAACAAATGAAACATTCCAAAATTTAGGCCAGATGGGGATCTATATTTTAGACCCAGTCTCCGCTTGGAGAATGCAGACTGGACAAGTTAGTCATTATTAGGTGCTGCAGTTATCAGGATACACCTGGGATTCTTGGATAAAGAAAGAATGGCTTACTAGCATTCTGAAGGCATGAATGATTGCTGTTACTCAGATTTGTGCCTTGACTTTAGCTAAACTCACTGGTCTCTGATTCTTTTTTCTATATGCCTATGAAGAACCTATAACTGGTGAACCTGTCCATTTCTACTTTAGAGTTTTAGAGTCGTGTTTCACTGATAATTGTTTTGTTTTGTTTCCATTGTAAAGTTATTTTAAAATATTACCAAAATATGCATTTAATGTGCATGTTGATGCACTTACTGACAAATACCCGTGTTCTAAAGTTCAAAGAAATGCAAAATCTGTTGAATAGCTACAAAGAGCAAAAAAGGCTATGTCACAGTAAACTCTAAACACCACCCCTTTTCAGGTCAGAAGGCCCACCTCTAATAGCCCAGCACTGGTGGATTACAAACTGGTCATGCAACCACCAATCAATAGAAAGATTTTTAGTGCCCTGTTAAAACTGGGTTAGAAATTTCTAGCCCTTCCTGGATTAGCCCAATGGAGTCATGTGAGCTCTATGAATTTGCTCAATCAAAACAGACCAAGAGGAAGGATTTTTAGAACGACAATATGAATGGAGACAGGGCCATTTCCAATTCTTCCTGGATACAACCAGAAGAGACATGTGACCCTGTACAGGCAAATTCCACCCTACAAACCAATAGGGAGTGTTTTAGCCCAGGAAAAAACAGCCTTCACACCAGCTAATCAGAAGCAAGAGCAATCAGAATTGATAGAGATAGTCTTCTTCTTTGTCCAGACATTCAGCACAGAAAAGATGGAAATACCAAAAATAACTCTGGTAGTCTGTGGGTGCTTTCTATCCTGGTACCCTTGGACATTCAACCCAGAAAGATGGAAAGAGCCTATATAACACTTGAAAGCTCTTCCCCCAGTTCATATAGGCTAAATTATACCAGCGAAGGAAGATCCTGTCACAGCTGCTAGGAATGTAAGAAACCAAGCCAAAACAGATTTTTGTTGTAAGAGGGATTGTATCTTTCACTGTATCTACCTTAGAACAAGTTCCTGCCCTGAAACTCCATTCCAAACAAACTAGAGTATGGATTTTCCTGAGAAATAGTCTGACACAAAATAGAGTTACAGCTGTGACCTACAAACCCTGTTCCTAAAGGTGAGAGTCCTGTCACTGTGCAGCTTGCTGAAGATATGGATGGTGGGGTACTTATGAAATTATCCAAGATATCTGCAAAGAAATTGGTATTATGGGAGTTTGACACAGCCTGGTCTACATATTAGTCACCACTGAAAGATGGAAGAAGATTGGAAGTCATGACAGAGGAAAGAGGCACAATGGTAAGTGCTTTATTTCTGATATTTGTTCTTAATAGTATGTAGAAAATGATTGTATATAGTACTCACTGATTACTAAAGCATTATTTGTTTTATACTTTTTATACACAGGCATATGGGCTGCATAGTGATTTTGAAAACCTGAACATCTGTACTTGAACTGAACATTCACGGGCTGTAAGCATTTCAGGCATCTCATGCATTTCCCTAGACCCAAGCATTGACAGATAATGTTTTATGTTGTTTTCTGCACCAATAAAATGGTTTGTTGAAACCTATGCATCCTTTTGTGTGTGTTCCTACAAAATGGCAAAGCATGAAGAACTCTTAAAGAAGTTAAAGTGTGCTCTCTGGGAAGATCGGGACTTTTGAGGACGTGAGCTTCTAGTTTCAGGAGGCCAAAACACTGATCAGAAGAAAGCTTAACAAATAGCTTTCAGATCAGGAAGCTTACAAACTTCACAAAGCAGCCAGAGTCTATTTCAAATGGAATAAGACCATCATAACTGAAAGTGGATGCTCAATATTGACATGCAGCATTTTGTTAACACAACAATAGTTACAAGTACATTTGAGCAGTGGTAGACATTCTGTTCAAATACGTCTCAGTGTCCAAAGCTTTTAGTGCTGTTTTAAGACAAAATAGAAGAAAGCCTGGCAAATTACAGTTGTATAATTTAGATACCACGAGTTTCTAAATAAGGCTGTGAGCAGTCTATTAAAATAAATTTTGGCCACAATAAAACATGACAAAAACATGGAGGTATTTCCCCATGTCCAAAGCTAAGACCTTGGTTTATACAGATATACAATTAAAAAAAAACTTATAACCATCATCTGCACAGAACCATCAAAACTATGCCTCTGGATGTTCATCAGTCGAACTGACTGGAAAGAAGTTTATGGAGTTTGTATACAAAGAAAGCAGGAGACTCCACTGTTCAAGAAAGACGTGCATGTGCAGATTTCCAAAATTAAGGGGAATTTTGCCAAGGGTTACAAACATATTTTCACTGTGGTGTTATTTACAGTACATCAAGCCATCAAAACAGTGAAGAACACTGTATACCAGTTAGAATAATACAAATAAGATGCTGCTGACTGGATTCTTTATTCTGAAGGCAAACAGAAGGTTAACTGCAAAGAATATAGTTTCTAGAGGGCTGAAGAAATCCTAGCTACAAAAGGTGGATGCAGAAGTATCTCCTGGTGAAATAGTTAGGTTGGCCTAGCAAGTTCAACTGTTGGCTGCTTGCTTCTGATCATTGTGAACCTGTACGAAAGGGTAGAGAAGAATGGGAAATGGTAGATTTTATCTTACCCTGCCTAGCAATGTCTGCGCAGAGGTTATTTCACAGAAAACTAGGCCCATATTTACTGTTCAGTTAGCAAGGGCCCTGGATCTTCCAGGGACAATGAAATTTAGTCTGAGTGAGATATAATGCCCTAACTGCTGACACTCAGTTTGAAATTGCACAAGGGGAAAAGGAGTGGGCCTTATTTCTGTATCATGGCTATTTTGCTGGCTTTCCCAATCTGTTGGAAAACATGGACATTACAATTACATTAAAAAGCTCTGATGTCCCTGAAGTGATCTTGCATTGTGATCTGGTGCCTAGAAAAACTGGACTTAAAGGAACTGAAACACACATCTGTCTAGCCAGCATGGAGCTGTTCCACATATTTCTTGGACCATGTTAAAAAGGACACATTTATTGCAACATTTTTAATATTTTATATATTTACACCCACATTTTGGAGCATCAAATATTTGGGAAATTCCAGATACTTTTATCGAACTACATACCAGTGTGTCTGGTATGAAAACAACAAACATATCAACATTGGCTGATGAACCTCACTACATTCCACACTGATGCCATCACTGTTAAAATAAAGATGTTTCCACACAAAAACATATCATTTTGCTTTGGTAAGGGGATTGTGAAGCAGCATCTTTCTTCCTAGAGAGTCTTTGTACTTAAAAAAAGTTGGAAAATAGTCATCCTGGAGAAAGAGAAGAAGAAAATGGGAACCCTGCCATTTACAAGGATTATTACAAGGTGCAGGCAGGAAGTGTGCTACAGGATGCCATGGAGCCTCAGTTATATATGGAACTGGAGTTGGTGAGATATTTATCATCCTTTTCCAAAAAGCACTTCCCCTGTTTGGAAGAGGTCTAGCCATCATTAAAGTCCATGAAAAAAGCACTGTGTAATATTGCTAAAGATGGGATTGGCCATATTACTCAACTGTTGAATACATTGAACTCCCCACCTTCACAAGAGGGTTTAGGTATATCAGAAGGAGAAGGTACCTAAAAAGAGGCTTCACAGGTGAGAATGATGCCCCTACCTTGACTCTTTAAAAGAAAAGCTCCAAGAGGAAAGGAATGTCAGAAGTTAGGAGTTGTAAAAAAGAGAAATAATATTTTAAACCAATATCATGGCATTTATGCTTTCTGGAGAATGCACTAAATCTGATCTAGATCCTTGCCATACTGGCAGCACACACACCAGTACTGGGATAGGTTTGTTTATTGAGGCACCTCCACTGTGATCACTGACAGAATCTACACCACTAGACTTCATTGTGGGAAATGGTGCAGACTATACGACTTCAAATAACAGCTTTCTCTGTGTGTACTGCAAAACTGTCAATGAAGACAAACCAACCTTGGAAGAGATGCAGAAGTAGGTCTATTGAATTATCTGATAACCTCCATCTTTAGTCAGTTGAGTATGATTTTGGGTAACAGCTGATCAGCCAGAGTAACACTTACTATCCTTAGTGCTTCCATAGAATTTGTACTGAACGACAATGAAGATGACCTAATTGTGCAGTTACATGATAATTTACAAAGATAATTGTAATTTGCTAATTTACAAAGATACTCCTAGGGAATACAAGAAGGGAACAACATTTCACTGGAATAGCAAGTCATAGATAGATAGATAGATAGATAGATAGATAGATAGATAGATAAATAGATAAAGATCTGCTGGGGCATCTCCATGTAGACCTGATTTTTTCCCAAGAAAAGTCACTGTTATATGGGATAAATAACAT